CTAAGAGATAGCGATACGTTGCGATAACTGAGAGATACGAGGCCGACGACGACCGAGCAACGACTACGTCGCCGAAATTGCGCCTCGACTGCGTCTTTTACTGCTAACGCTATTTGCAATTCAAACCATTCTTGAGACGGCGAAATGAACGGTTGATGGGGACGGAGGTGAGGCGTCTCCATATGTTGAAATCGAAACTGTTTTGAACAGTCCAACACGTCACTAAAAAAACCAACGTTCCCTTCATTTCGACGCCACTGGTCTGAGAATTCTATTCGATGCTGTGCAGTGGTAGCAATCTGCATGACACGACTGACGACTGACCAAGTGAAAAAATCAAAAAATATTGATTGAAATCAACTTTCCGGTGGTCCAATGGATATCGCTTACGGATTTATTCACGTATTTTTCCACGAATTTAGAAAGAATTTCTTTGTGCTAATTATGATCGAGAAAATTGCTCCAACACACTGGAACCTGATGACCTTGCTGGCTGGAGCTAAAGAGAGGGTACCTTGGGAATTCCCAGCAATGGGGTCGCATTGGGATCCTGGAGGGAGGGGTCTTATGTGCATTGGCAATTTTTGGAGAAAATTAGAAGAACTTCAGAAAAGAACTCCAGGGGAAAGCACTAGGAAAGTGGGAGAAGTTCGATAATCCTCGCAGGATTTTCGCATGATGTTGGATAGGTGAAGGTGGAAGGTGTTCGGAACAGAGCAGGAAATTTTGAAGGGGAGGCCTTATTTTACAAACTTGGAAAGGATGTGCCCTGGCCAAAATTTTCAGAGCACGCTATTGTTGGGGAACTCACAACGGATGTGATCGTATTTGAGTTGTTGGAGAAAGGTAATCTTGGCGTGACTTTTCGATTTGTGATGTGGGAGGAAGTTTCAGGAAGAAGAGGAGAGTTGAGCTCGCAGGTTGCCATCTCTTTCTTGGTTGTTCTTTTCCGTGGAAATTAACGTGGTAGAGTTAACGGTGCGGAAAGGAACAAACTGGGGAGCGTAACATGCCTCCCGGTCAGGTCATCTAGCCATAGATCAGGTCATCTTGCCACATAGGTGATTCTCGCTGCTCGTCGAGATCCGTAATGCCTAGGTCTAGGCACTTAATAGCATTTAAAGAGCCATGTTTTACAAATTCAGTTGAGTAAACGACACCAAAGGATCAGGGTGCCTTTACTCGGCATGCTTACCGCCCCCGCAGTAAGAGATACCGCTTGCTGATTGATAGTGACCTGACCTATCGGGAGATTTGTACGGATGGCCGTAAGTGCCTTTTGAAGTTGCTTTCTAGTCATTGCATTTTTGTCAACGCCTTGCTCAGGATCCACTGCAATATTTCGTAGCAGCGATGGCTCATAAAAACCAAGTGTGTGCCCCAGAATAGCATGGGAGCTCTGTTCCCGGGAGTTTTGTACTTTTCAATTCATACTGGTAATTTCACTGAGTGAGCTTAATAAGCAGTTGATAAAACAAGTAAGAGAATTAAACCAAAGCAACAGTCTAGATTGAATTGTCTGTAAAATGATTATGGTTGATTGTCTGAGATCACTTTATCAAGGAATTGAACCACGTGGGTTGGTTTAAACGCTCAACTTACAATATCGTACATGCATGTAACGGCTCTTGTATTGCAAAGTTTTACTGATAACGTTTTGGGCCTAAACCTTCCCCAGATCAGTTGAAAACCAGCGCTTATACAACATAACACTTACAGACAGGTACGCATAGGGATAGGCGAAATGTCGGTGTGACGTACCGACCCCCCCTCGACNCGGTACGCGCCGACCGACCCGTCCCGTTTCCCGTTGCGTCGACCCCCCCCCCTCAGCCCTCCGGACCGGCTCTTTCGCCGACTGACGAGCGATGAGTATATAGTCGGCGAAAAAGTCGTCGAGCGGGGGGTATACAATAACTATGCAACGTATATCCGGCGGGTGTACAGGGTGCATATAACACAAAAAATTAATACGACCCCCTGCATCCTTTTAGAAAAAAGATTGGCCAACGAACTTGAGAAGCAGTTCGTAGGACGATCTCGTCTCTCTCAAAATGCAGGTCATTCAAGTCGGGGTAGTCGGGGTAGAGGCCCATGTAAGGATCAGAAAAAATTGGGTTTCGTTTTTGCTAAGCGTTCCTGGGAATGTCAAAAAAGCAAAAGCAGAAATTTGCTAAGAAAATCTGAAATTTTGGCGTTCCCATAAACTCTCAGCAAAAGCGAAGCCTATTTTGTGATTACGATATGCAACATACCATTTCTGAAAACCGCGCCACGACCTGAATCTATAAGCGATGGTTTTCACATGACTGAGGAAGGGCCTAGGCCCGAAACGTTATCTGTGAAACTTTGCAATACAAGAGCTGTTGTTAATACCTAAGCAATATTGTAAGTTGACGGTTTGACCAGTTATCCGGGTGATACTTGGAGCTTGGGGCACTTTGGATGTTGTGCCTTCCTAAGTCGCATTTAGCGATCTCCTTGTTGCTGAACGCGCCAGCGCCTGCTCAGAGACCCGGTTTCTTCTTCTTACTCTTCTTCTTCAATCCTTTCTTCTGTACTTACTAATCCTTCTACAAATATTGTGACTTTCTTCTTAACCATGGATGCATGTGCCTAATAGTTTTTGAAGAATTCCGGGCACCATTTACCCTTTATTGTCCCAGCCATCCGAAATCAGGCCAGTTCCTGACCGACTTTTTTCTCCGTGGGCAGAATTTGCTGAAAACTTGGCTCCGGGGATAGTTCGAACCGCTGAACACGAATATCGCATTCGTTTGACCCGAAACTCCTGGCGCCCGCGTCACGGGCACCGGCGCCAAAATACCTCAAATTATTGGCGCCTGTGGGACGGGCATGTGATATTCGTATTCTGGAGGTCAAACTACCCCAGGAGACAACATTTGAGCAGAATCTGCCCACGGAGAAAAAAGTCAGTCAGGAACTGGCCTGATTTCGGATGACCGGGGCAGTAAAGGGTAAATAGTGCCTCATCTGCCATATCCAATGAACTATTCTTCCGAAGACAAGTGGTCTGCGGAAACGCTGACTTTCAAGAGATTCTTTTATTTCACATCAAATGACCTTTGAAACGCAATAGATGAAATAATAGTGATAAATTCCGGTGTTGCAGTGATTTCACATACACGCACACACTAGTACTAATATCTACAACTTTTATATTACATACAATACATTTATTCACAGACAGATAATTAGCTTCACATACAGTTTTATTCAGAATACAGCGTCATCATCTACGGAACACAGTTTACCGATCGCTCACGCGACGCGGTCGCGCGGCAGCTTGAGGGACTTCACATCGAGTACATGGTCTTTGCACCTATTGCCTCGGATGTTGATGTTTGATGTTTTAGTGGGTGCCAGAATAGCTGAAGGGGGGGGGGTGGAGGTGGTAGAAGAACCACGCTAAAGGATTGTGTGGCGTCCCCCTGGTCGCCTGCGTTCTCCGGGAGAATCATCTCCAACTAAACTGAATCTAGTTGTTTACGTAGTGATCGAAACGGACCTGTGACGTGTGGTCCTCTACTCATGATTTTACGAAAAACCACAGGTGGATGGTGGATCTAGGAGTGCGTTCATACCTGGCGATTTGGTCGCTATGATCATGCGTGCGATTCGCAGCGCGATCAGTATCAGGGCGAATCAGAAGTGAAGCCGATCGCTTTGATCATGCTTCACTTGATCGCCTAAATCGCGACGCATACGCGCTTTCTCATAGCTACCTAGCAAGGCCAGGAGGGAGTGCCTAGGGCAGGTCTCGCGTTAAAGCGTGCGCGGATCAACTGAATCCGCAGAGTCACTGTAGTCTGAATTCGCTGCACACAAAGTAATCGATAGTTGCTATCAGTCTTGGAAAACCTTAGAAAATTGTTTTCTGCATATTTGCTATGACATCTTTCTATGACACAATCGTATTAGAACGAATGCTCAGTGATTCATTGCACTGGATTACGCTCCATATCCCGGAGATGGAGGGGGCGTGGCTGCATATTCCGCTTGAACATGACATGGGCTACGTTACCCGTCGAAGGCATTGATACAATTGTAAATAACGGCAATATTCCAAAAAAAAACCGCTGACACCGCCACGCTCGTATGGGTACGCGGCCACGCCCCCTCCATCTCCGGGATATGGAGTGTATTATAGACGAAGTGGGGTTCTTTGCAACTGACGTCCCAGTGGAACGGCTATCATGAAGAATAAAGAAACAGAGTAAGTCTGAACCCATCCCACTTCGTCCTATATGAAGTTCTCAATCCACGCCCCAATTATAATCACGTCTGAGGCTGCCAGACTTGACGCCAATCTGTATTGATTTGTCGCGTGCATGCTGGCAGCATCAAAACACTATATCCGTTGAGCGTAGATCACATATTCAGATAATCCTCGGGCGCTAGCGTTGTTGGGAGGGGGTAACAGTAGAGAGGACAGACTGTGCCTATTTGATGCTTGTCTGCACCCTCCCGAGATAATGCTTGGGGTTTCGTTGGAGCCGATGAAAGCGCGCTGCTAACTACGTGGACCATAAAATGCAAAATGGCAAAGCTGGGAACAAAAGAGCACAAAATCCATCTCGCCCACTGTCCCACCCAACTACAGTCATCATCCCCACAAACGATATGGCGTGCAACGAAAGCGCGGCTTGGAACACAGCCAGAGCGATTAACCGCCAATTGCAGCGGAGCGAAGATGACATCATTGGTGGGAATAGGGCGAACTGGCTGCATTCCAATGCACATGGCGTCACACGCCCTATCGATTGCAGGGATCATGACGGCATGTACACTAGCGCCGATCTTTTTTTTAAATACAAGAATTAACAATAAAATAATATGGAAGTGAATTATGCTCCTAATTCCATCACGCAGCCACTATGTGAATTAATAACAAATACTAATGTAAATGTAGTAATACGAGCAGGAATGCGATGTGAATACAGTACCCATTTGATGAACTCGTGGTATCAGCGTATTCGTCATGGTTGCTGTGTGACCGGTTCCGCTTCTGACCTGCCCGGTTGCTGCGCATTTGAGAACATATGATTTGTACTGAAATAATACCAGTTCGATTACAGTAATATACATTGCCACTAATCGATTAGCTATAACTAATCGAATCAGAGGCATGTTAATACAGTAGGTGCACAAGAGTGAGCATAAAGCTATGTGTTAATGCACATTCGTGGAATATCTCACAGAAATAAATTGACAGGCATACTGTATCAATCACTAGTGTACGGTACTTTATGAAATCTGACGATAGAGAGCCAAGAATGTAAGAGAGTGGCACAGATAGTTTGTTTGTGAGAAAAGAAGCGTGAAGCAATGATGGTGCGCTCGATAGGCCAAAGCATTGAAAGAAGCGACAAATGCGGAGCTTACCAGTTACCAGTATCAATATAATCAATCATTCTTCGACGCTGAAATAAAAACAAGCATTAAAAGTGCACCCATGTTTCACAGTCACAAGCATGCAAATTGTAAAATTTGAGATGTAGTTTCGCACATCCAAGGTGCTTGTGGTGGCACGGAAGGAGTTGTTGCAAGTGGTGTCACGTGCGCGAAATTTGCTCCAGACTAATTGATTTGGAAGTTCCGCCGCAGTGGGTCAACTAGTCAGCAAGTGCAACGTGGAATTAAAGCCAGACACACCAGTAGAACCAAATTCGTCAAGTTTACGGAATTTATATAACCATTTAATTTTCCCTTCGTTAGTGAAGAGTCCTCAGGCTGGAAGGATATCCAGTGGATGATCTGGTCTTTTGATGTTCCGCCCATGCACTCATTGTCAGTTTTAGAGGGAATCTGCCTCGATGGATGAGATGGACTGGTTCCCACTGTGAGTTCTATGAGCTCATGCAGGGAAACTGAGGATATGAAAAGCTACTTTAGCTAGGAAGGCATTTTATAAGCGAAATTTGTCGACAGAGGCAGCAAAGTAGGAGGGAAGGGAGGACTCTCGACTTATTCTTATAACGTACAGCAACAAACTCAATAAAATCAGAGTAACAATAGAAAGCTACACTACTGGTAGGGCAAACATTCAAAGCTGCTAAATGTGATAGAACAAATACATTGGAAAACTCGTCCAAACGGCCATTTGTTTTCGCCATAATTTCAAAAGTCTCCTTGTTAATGGGAGGACGAGCTTACTGATTCTTCAGCGGATAATTAACTGGTTTTCTATTGTACAGTCATACAAGGACCATATTGTAAATACTACTTATTGGAACTGTTCGAAAGGTATTTATATTCCACGAAATCATTCGCCTTGCAGATAAGCATATACTGTGCTCAACTGATAGAGGAGGTCATTTTTGCGGGAAAAGACGGATCAAGAACGACGTCATTGGAAGTGGTAGCTATTACGCATTCGCTACCGACCCCGCCTCCTAGTGGACGAGTTGAGCTCTGCTGATGCCTGTGGCTAGCTGCGATATGGTAGGAATTGATCAAGATGCTGATGGTAAAAATGACGTGACAAGAGCTGACTTGCGGGGATTCGCCACAACATTCTTCTGAAAAACTTCACTGGACAGATTCTGCGAAACCAGGGCTTTACTTCCCTACTTCTAGGCGATTAATTCTGGAATTTTCGTCAATGTTTGGCCAAATTGCACCTATACTTGCCCATTCAAGCTTGCTACAGCATACACTTAGACTGCCGCGGAATATATTTTTTGAATTAATTGTGACGGTACCTAGAGCTACTACATTCAAACTCACTTACTTTCCTGAAACTTTCATGAAGTTGTCAACAATGATGGTGATGGGCAACGCCAACACAAGTACACCGCTGATAATTGCTCCAGAGGCAATCAATTTTCCAGCTAAAATGTCATCATCAGCTTCCAGCTATTTCACCCTGGAAAAGCAAGGTAAACTCACGTATTGTGACGGGTACGTAGTCACCGTAGCCGACTGTCGTCATTGTCACAATTGCCCTAAAATAAATACAATTGGAAGGTTGACGTACTGGAGGAACGCTGGAGCTACAGCTTCCCCATTTGTAAACACTCCGTCAGGGAGGACTGCACCTTGCACTAATCATAAGGGAGCACCATGTGATTATCATTGGACTTTGTGGCCGATGAACAACCAAATAATACCATAACAATGGGTTCATCTTTTGTAAGTAATAGGTCTACTGAAAATCACAATGCGGCTCCTCTTGCTGGAGTATGAGTTTATGTCGAATCGTCCGGGCTATAAACAAACGTACTCATGACGCACATGAGGTGTTGTCGAATCAGTAATGAAGTAATTCGAGTAATTCGAGTTGTTCTTCGGGAATTAAGACAATTACACAGTGCGTTCAGTGAGCGAAGAATAACCATCGAACTTTGAGTTAAACAGTCATGCTCCCTGCAAACGATAGGGCGTGTGACACGTTGTGGACTGGAGCTCAGCCAGAGCGGCCATTTTCCACCAATGATGCCATCCCGGGCCCGCTACAGTTGCGGCAGATCTGCTCTGGCAGTGCTCCAAGCAACGCTCCGGACACGATCGTTTGCAGGGATCATGGCGGTGCGATATGGTGGGATCAATTCGATAAGGCTTTGTAAACTGATCATAACCTAAAGATTACAACTTTGAACGTACCACCAGAATGCGGCTGGAATTGAGGTAAACGGTGTATCTTCCTCATCCTTTTCTACGAAATAGAGTAGCGTTGAGAAGAACACAACGCCAGTAGATAGCACCTGTAGAATGGAGATTAGTGACTGGAAGTGTCCAGAAGCACAACATTTTTTCGAATCAATTCCCTGCCTACACTCATTATCCCTGACACGGAGTAGGCGTGGCACCCGAACATGGCATAGGGCGGGTTACTCGAGGGATGTTTCGATTTGAGACAACTGTTATCTTGCTCTGTGTTGGACGAAGACATGATCACAGCTGTCCCGAAACCAAAATATCTCACGAAAATCTCAGCCGCTGCCATTTCAATTCAAGTACACGCCCATCGCATCGCATACAGGGCACATCGTTGTTGGAGAATCCCCAATAGGGGGGGGAGGCGTTTGGTCGCCAGGAGGGGGGTCGTATTTGGGCTGAGAAAAATTTTTTGGTAGTTTTTTCTCGCTTCATGGACGTTGTAAAGGGAGGGGGGTTGTATTTGATCAGTTTTGGGAGGGGGGGTCGTATACGTTTAGGCGTTGTAGGAGCGCTGGTTGACTTTTCGTAATTATCCTGTTTCATGCCTACTATATGCCCCCCCCGCCCCCTCCCTCGACGATTCGATGAGGAATGACAGAGGGCTGCGAGGGGGGGGGTCGTACCAACTTCCAAAAAAAGGCGGGGGAGTCGTATAGAGTCGACTAAAATCCCAATCAATGATGTGCCCTGATCGCATATCAAGTTTTCAAGTGCATGTAAGTGTCGTGTTTGGTAATGGCCGTTTCTTATGGAAGGTGAATGTGCAGTCTTGTCCGCTGCGGTTGCTAGGGCGTGTCAGGGTGGGGAAGAGAGACTTGATTTGGAGCGGCGATAGCATCTTCTCTACCACTAGCTGTCGACTGCCCGCTTCAACGGTTCGTGCAAAAGGGGCTGACACCATCATAAGCCCCCCCCCCTCGGACACGCCCCAGCATCTGCAGCGATTAGTACTGTATATCTCAGAAGAACGCCAACCTACCCACTACACCTCGATGTGGGCTCGGAAATCGCGCCCAGAAAGAGCCCACGATGAGCGAAATGCCCATGTTTTATAATGCTCGTGTTTTGCAGTGGACGAAATAGCAAAAGCTATGAGTTTCCCATCCACTCAGTTTTTTCATCGTGTGTAAACTTGTTAGTACTACGTTTGCTCGTGAATATTCAGCAATTTTTTTGAGAGTGAAATTTGTGTATATTACCATGCCCATCATTCCGAGTTGTCGTGCTGAACTGCGTAATGTTAAAGCGAATGTTCGCATTCCAGACGAGTATCGCCCAAGTTTCAATATTCGTACCACACGAAGTACCCGCAATACACGCACCACCAATAGAGCACCTGAAAAAATCAATAGAAGTCAGATATTGGAAAGTTCGCCAAAATGAAGTCTAAGCAGGATGTTCACTGGGCTCGAAGGCTACGCTAAAGGCAGATGGCACGAAAAAGCTTGCACCTGTACAGATTCGCCATTCAGAGTCATCTGTTTCAAATGATCCCCCGATTTCAAGTACATAATTTCTGGGGAAAGAGCACACGCATGCGGAGAAACTCGTGATTGGCGGAAACGTATTTCGTGGACAATTTTTTTTGGGCAGTAGTTCAGAGAACATTTTCAGAAATTTATGACGCAATAAAAATGGTTTCCTTTGGCAAAAAGGCGTTCGCATGGGGAAGAAATGAGCCAAAGGACCAGCCCTTGAACCGCACTGACGAGTAGAATAGAAGCGGAGAAAAAAAACCATTTCATGAACATTCGCTATGGCCGAGAATGTGTGCAGGCAGCAGTGCAGATCATCGCGATGGGTAAAGTACTCCTCCAGTGCCATCTCCCACCCGAATCCGCAAAACAGGGTCGATGATCAGTCACAATTAGTAAGACTGCTGCGCCACTAACTGCGCTACCGTATAGCGCGCCTAAAAAGGGAAAACTGCAATCAAACAAACTTGCTGGAGTAGTTACCATCCCCCCCCCCTCCCTTCTCTGGGACGTAGAATCCTCAACGATGGTGTGCCGTGGGCGGGTACACTGGAAATTCCTGGGATGAGATAGGTGTGGCTGCATATTTCAACTATCCGTGGAGGTGGTCATGCTTTTGGAGAGACATTTTCGTTTTGGCAAGATCGGGTTGCGTCTCTGTCCAACACACAGAAAAAAAAGAGTTGTTTCAAACTCAAGTATCCCCCGAGCAACCCATCCTATGCAGTGCTCAAAGGCAACGCCTACTCTGCCTCAGGGATAAGTAGTGTAGTACTGGTGATAGTTTTAATACTTGTCATTACAGCAGCACATGAGACGACGACTTACTAGTGGCACAAGCACACTGTATACTGTCATATACACGGTATTATTCGCTGCGGGTGAAGGGGCGTGTCATGCGGAAGGCTTTTGGCGCCCAAGCTGTTTTCTAGCAATTGCTGAGGCGAGCGAGCGACAAAGCTGTATCGCTTTGGTCGTATAAGTCCTTTTCAACCAACTGCCATCGTTTAACCGCTTCAGCAACTGCTGGGACGGGTTTGGCGCCGCGCCAAGTCAATCACGTGTGACACGCCCCCGTCATCCACAACGAACTAGACTGTACACGAACAATTCATGAGGAACGGTACCAAATGCAAACCTTTGATATCACTGAGACTGGCCACATCAATGCCGAACATCGCCAATCCCAGTTCCAAATAGAACGGAACTATCGCCACCATATCAACGATATTCATAATTCCTACGAGGAATTGTATCCTTAATAAATAGGTGCCGTTACTCTTGCTCGTCCGAACAGTAGTAAAAACTTGCATCCAAAATGAACTGCAATTTGCTCACCTTGATGGCGTTACAGCTAGCCTCAGGATGAACTCAAATGTAAACCAAATGATGCAAGTGGTTTCAATGTAACCAAAGACCGGATGCGGTTCCCAGATGACATTCGGATCATTCACTTCAAAAGTTTTCGATTAATTACTTCAACAAAGATGAACTAGTAAGTGATGGAGAATGGCAAAGGTTAGTTCTTTTCATTCTCATTGCCTTATTGTCGACCTCTACCTGATGCGATTAGAAAAGAGTAATGAGTCAATATGGTTGCTGGGATTTCAAGCAGGAGTTCAACCTGACGTTTCTCAGTTTTTTTACCTTATGCCACTATTACGATCACTCGTTATCAATTACTTTTGCTTTTATTTTTGATTAGACACATATTTCAAAAAAGCCCTGGCCTTGGCAAGGGAAAAGCCAGCCCGCCAGTGTACATTCCTCATTGGTGCGCTTTCCTTCCTGGGATGAAGAGGTGGAGGAGCAAGCCAGTGAGGAAAAGCTACAGTGCAGGCGCCACTTCGCCCATAATACGAGCGCTGACATACAGTTGATATCACCGCAATCAGTCGGGTCACAGTTAGTGGTCCCCACATGCGGCCTTTCCACCATTGGTTGTTTTCCTGTCAAATCGATCTATACCGATTACCATTGGTCGAGCAAGACAGCAGCAGGCGGGCTCATCCCGCCTTGCTGGCGCCGTCCCGACTGATTGCAATGTTACAAACTATATCTATCTATAAATCTTGGAGGCACAAAATGAAGAGCAAGTAAGAAACATAAAGGATACCATATTGATAAGTGCGTATAATAGAAAGCAAGCGATATAATAGCGACGTGTTAGTCAGCATTAGTTACCGCTGACCAGAAAGCCGTACTAGTAATGCCATCTACACTCATAACCCAAGATGGAAAGGGCGTGGCCGCGTAATTCACTTGAGCAGACATAGAATGCGTTTTTCGTGAGATAATTCCCTTGTAGACAACTGCCACCCTGTCTTGTGCTAGACAAAGACATGATTACAATTCTCTCGAAACAGCAATGTCCCGAAAAGCACAGCATCCGGCATGTTCAGGTGGACACACAGCCATGCCCACTTCATCTCCGGGATACGAAGTATATAATCACGGGACATGGCTCATCATTGAATAGTTAGGTAGTATGGGCGCCATGGAACGATCAAACGACCCAATTTAGCCGAGACTGTTCAGATGTTGTAACGAAAGGACTGCCTATAACCTAATTACTAAATACTACGGAATATTAATAACAGTATATCAAAGCTACCAAATGAGACACTTTGAGGCTAATCCTCAGACTAGAACCAGCAGCTCGTTGAGATGCTTGCATACAGAGTTTTTCAAAGGTTCAGCAGAAAAAGCGGAAAAAAGCCGTCACTGATGAAAGGAATGTTGTAATATGCAAAAAGGGATGTAGTATGTTCCTTCGACTCATCAGCAAAAAATCCATCTTGTGTCTCGCTAAAGCGTTTCGTAACGCAACTGAAGTTGTCAATATTCCCTTCATTACAAACTGACCTTCGAAGGGATGACACGTTGTAGTCCCTGCTTGTCTGTGTCCTCTGAACGAAGGTGTGTCCGTATTATATTACGAGGCTATAAGTCGAGACCGAGGGATGTCGGACAGAATGCAGGGGGGGGGGCAAAAAAAGACATTTTGGCCGAGTCACATATCAGTATCAGTTTACGCTGCCAAGACGAAGACGTGGATAGGAGTACCAGCGCGGAAGGTACACAAGTTGTTCCTCAACAAGCAAGAGCATGCTCTCTCCATCACCTTCAGTACATCAGAATATGAAGCCATCTCCAATCGCAGCCAGAAGGCCTTGGAATTCACGCCACGTCCAAACAGCTGCGAAACTTCTTGAATGGAGTCACTAGTGAACAGCTACCGGGGGGCCACCACTCTTGATGTGAAAAACCTCCAACATCGAGCAGCTCCGACAACGCCGTTACGGTCCAGGATATCATCTACACCGCAGTCGCCAAGACGAGGGTTGATGGTATGGACCGGAGATTCCTGGGATGTGAATACCGATATTTTCATCGTGGACCCCGGATTGAAGGTGAACGCTGAGGGTTACATCGACAACTCGAGGAGAATATCCTGCCTTAATGTCGTCGTCCGTTCCATCTTGGAAACTTCGTACTGCTACAGGACTGGGTGCCAGCACATGGAATTGAAGGGCATTGGAAAAACTCTCGCCTACTTGGAAACGAAGGGCGTTGAGGAAGAAGACGGAGGTCAGGGAGGAGCTCAGCAGCGTGGTCTACAGTGGCAGAGAAATCAAAAACCTCGCTGAACTCAAGCACCGAATCACGGCTGCGTGGCAGAATCTCTCGATGGCCTTCGTCCAGAAGGCTGTGGCGGAACTTCGTGATCGTGTGCAATGCCTTGATGCATTTGATGGTGAAAATCTCCAACCATGATTCAATGAACTGTAACTTATATCACATTGAATGTCGAGAAGAAAAGTGTCTTTTTTGACCCTCCCCCTGTACACAATGGTGTATCCGCAACAGCGTGTCCTCTCTCAACATTTCCGCCCAAAAGTTGGTGGAGCCAATGCTTTGGTGAGGCCGTGTTCATACTTTGCGGCAGCGTCCATCAGCGTCTGCTAGCGTTTAGAGGGCTAGGGCAGTATGGGTATCGATCTACCTTCTGCCAGCGTCTGCCAGCGTCAGCCAGCGTTCACCGGAACTAGAGAGTATAGGGAAACAGGAGGAGCACCTGGATGAGGAGTCGTGAGGTTGCGGCATGTGCAACCGCACCGCACAAAAGCACAGAATTACACAGTTCAATTTACGGTGTAGTGTACTTGTACGGTGCAGTTGCACACGCCGCAATTTTGCAAGTCCTAATCCAGCTGTTTGCTACCCTACTACCCCCGTACACCCTACTCCCTGTCCAGTGGACGCTGGTAGAGGCTGGCAGACGCTGGCAGACACTAGATAGATACCTATTAGGTTGCTCGGAAAGAAATGCGCGTTAAATTTGTCCATTTACTTCTCTCCTACTATTGAAGATTTTCAAAAACACTTTTGTCTACTAGAAAGAATTTTAGATTTTATTTTATTTAAGATTTTAAGATTTTGATTGTGCATCTTTAATATATTTTTGTCTATGTCTACGTTGTATTTTTTAAAGAAAAAAAAGTTACTTGTTCTCTCTTCTTACTGCGTCGTCAAGGTGTCGAAACGACGTCGACAAAACTCTTCCACGACAACGCTCGTCCACATGTCGGAAAAACCACTTTAGAAAAAATTGAGGAATTAGGCTGGGAAGTTCTGCCTCATCCGCCATACAGCACAGACCTGGCACCATACGACTACCATCTGTTCAGGTCAATGCAGCAATCCCTGGCAGAGAGAAAGTTCACAAACGCGAAGAAGTTATACTCTGGGTGTCCAACTACTTTGAGTCGCAGCCGGCCGAGTCTTCGAGAGGCTAACCCATTCTTTGCATAAACGTTGGCAACAAGTCATTGGTAGTAATGGAGATTATCTTCTAAATCAATCTTGTTCAGTTTCGTTTCCATAATAAAAAATTTCTTAAACTCAAGCGCGCATTTCTTTCCGAACAACCCATATAATTCCTAGTTTTCGAGACGTTGCCGGACGCTCGGAATGTTAGTGGTCGCTAGTTTACGCTGGTAGACGTTAGTGGACGTTGCCGCAAAGTATGGACGCCTGAGGTTCTTGGCGCACCTTCGAAACACGTTGCCAGGAGACTAAATCTGTTACAGGACTGCTAAATTATCCTGGAAACTCTTTTTCCTTCTTCTCCAAATACGATCGTCCAATAATTGTGACCTGCGAAACCCCCATTAAAGATTTAAATTTTAGTCAAGTTCCTCGTGCCGTTTGCAGGAATAGCCGCAGGTAAACATTGTGAAAGCTCCTGAGGATTTGTTGATTAGCCGAAGGCATTGACGACATCAAGCCGGGCTTATCCTTAGTGACGGTGTCCAAACTAATCACTATTGTTGAAGGAGCTTTTCATCCTTCATGACAGTCAGCGATCGCGCTAATATTGATGGTAGCAATATGTAAGGAGAAATCTAGAAGGGCGTCCATGAGTCCAAAATTTTCTAGTCAAACTTTAATATTCAGAGCGAGGTACCCAAATCACAGTAGTCAAAGGTAAATCAAGTAGGAGCGCGTTTAAAAGGAGCTCTACAGTCACACACCTCGATACGTGCTCTTTCAGGCACAGCACAGACTATGCAAAAGTTTGGGCCACAAAAGTTGAGCCTCAGGTAAGGTTATAAAAATGATATCTGCTCATTTCACACCTATGGGTCGCACCCTTAGGTTGCATTCACACCTTGCGGCAGCGTCCACCAGCTTTCCGAACGTCCGGCAGCGTCAAAAACTAGGAAATTGTAGATATCGATCAGCGTCTGCGAGCGTCTGCCAGCGTCTAATAGCGTCTGCCAGCGTCCACAGCGACCAGCAGCGTCTCGAGGGGTAGGGAAGTATAGGTATTGATCTAACGTCTCTCAGCGTATACCACCCAGCAGCGCCTGGAAGTGGAGAGTATGGGGAGATAGGAGGGTAGCAGACTGCTGGTAGAGAGTATGGCGCGATATGAGAGCAGCACACAGCTGGTACCCTCGTATCACCCCACGCTATCTACCAGCAGTGTGCTTCTGGTCGCGGGTAGACGCTGGTGGAGGCTCGCAGACGCTTTCATATGCTGGATCCATATCTATACTTCCCTAGTCCTCGGGACCCTGCTGGTCACTGGTGGATGCTGACAGCCGGTAGACGCTTCGATATCTATACTTTCTTAGACGGTGAAGCTGCCGGAAGCTCGGAATGCTGGTGGACGCTATTGATCGCTGAAGGACGCTACCGCAAACACAGCTTCCTCTTCCAATTCTGAACTGCTGTTGACGTGCCATGGCACGGCATGTGACCCGTTCCCCAAGTAGGACATTGAGTCTTAATCTCCAATCTGCTA